ACAGCACTTAACACATAACTATTAACCATTTACTTATTATTTATTTATTATTTTAACACAGTCTCAGGTCCCTATGCCTCCAGGAAAATCCTATGCTACCAAAGCAGTCTTCCACCTCCTCCTTTTCTAAAACAGAGCCACATAGAATGTCATCACCTGGTAATCTCACGCTAACGTTACAGCTTCACCAATGACAGATATAAAAACAGTGACATAATGTTAACGTTCACTGACTTTTTTAACCTTACGTTAGGTCAGACGCACTGAATGTTACCTCACTTCACACACACACACACACACACACACACACACACAGTCAAATCTACTGCCAGCTCACACAAAATAAATAAGTTCATACACAACATACAATTTAACATGGCCGCTGGTCTCCTTTTCTTCTTTTCTCTCCTTTTTGCTGCTTCTAGATTGTTATTGTTGATGCTGCTGCGTCTGGTCGTGCTTCCTGATAACGTCTGTGCGTCTTACGACGTCTTCTCTGGCGATGCGTTTACTGACTACTGTAATAGGTGTTTGAGTCTGCGCGCATTTTTCCCCATTCAATGTCAAAATCGGGGGCATTTTCGGGGACAGCTTTTACCAGAGACCGGTCACCTAAATCGGGGGCTGTCCCCGGAAATCGGGGATGTCTGCTCACCGTAAGCTAACAGCGCTAACATCCACAGACTGATGCTGACGTTAGCTCGCAGCGCTAACATCCACAGACTGATGCTGACGTTAGCTTACAGCGCTAACATCCACAGGGGAACTGCCCACTGGTTCGACATCCCATTGTTCCAACCATATTAAACTCATTGTTCCGAAGTCTGTTCCGAAATCATCATGATGCCCTGTGGTTAAGGTCTAGTTAGGGTTAGGCACAAAAACCACTTGGTTAGGGTCAGGAAAAGATCATGGTGTGGGTTAAAATGAAAAAGAAAGTGACAAACACATAAGCTGTGAGCCTGCTCCGCCTCAAGCCTTCCCAGCCGACCCAGAGCCGGTTGCAGTGCACCATACCCCCGCCGCGAGCAAACGCTCCTTATGCAAGTGTTTGAGGACTATAAGGACATGATTAGGAACAAAGACAATCCACCTTATTTTTCACAGAAACACGGAGGCAAAACAGAACGCAGCCAGCTTCCGTTTTTTTGTGCGACACTTCCGGTCCAGCACTCTTACCACTGTGTAAATGGGAATCCCCTTGTTGTTTACTTTGCTGAGTTTAGCTATATATATATGTATATATCACATTTTCACATCACTATATCACCGTTTAGACTAATCTGATGTTTGTAAAGTCTATAAACACAATGACTGAACAAACATTAGTATTTTCTCTGTGTGTAATTAATAACATGGTTATCGTAGATTAGCTGGGCTAACCGTTAGCTGTTAGCCGTTAGCCGTTAGCTGTGTCTGTAATAACTCACAAAACTCACAAAGTGGCCCGTGAAAAAAATATTTTCTCCAGTGGATGTCTTAGTTACAACATGATTGAGCTAATTGGAGTAGTTTCATGTCGTATCCGACAACGGGAGGCTTTTAACAGATGACGTCCTGATGTTAGCTTTGCTGCTAGTGTTAACGTTAGCTGTCCCTGTCAGCTGCAGCCACTGATGCTTTCTAGACATTGTGATTTCCCAAAACTGAATAAATACCACACATAGCAACACAAAACTGCTTTGCTAGCTCAATCATGTTGTAACGGCTGGATGGTTGATGCGTACATGCTGATTCAGGTGCTATCAGAGCCGATCCGCGCATCACTATGGCTTAATGATCAACTCAGTCAATTAAAACAACCCGTCCTGTGTTAGGAGTGTATGTCGCTGACAGAAAGAAAGAAAAGGGAAAAAAGATAGAAAAGCAGCGTACACCTCACATATTTATTTCTCACAGTTGCGCACACGTGTGGCTGGCATGCAGAAGCACCGTCTGTGTGTCTGTGTGTCGAGGGTGTGAGCCGCAGCTTCAGCTGCTCAGGTAGAGAGGCTGTGTAGCCCGCTGTGTTTTTTCACTGATTCGGTTCTGCAGGTTCTCTGCTGGTACACTGGAGACGGGGATCAAGCAGTTTGTCTCACTCGGGATAGATTGTGCTTTTTTGGTTCATAGTTTATGACTGACGTGCGATTTATTCGCGTTTAGAGGGAAT